AAGTGCAGTATCTGCTTCGATCATATCCGTGGTTCATCGAGGCGGTTAAAAACAAAAAAAAACAAAAAAATCATGATCAGGTGTTCGACAGGACAGAAAAGCAAAAAAGAAAGAAAGAAAAAAAAACTATCCAAGGCTCCCAAAGGAGCAGCAGCATTCCATCACCAGTGTCAACAACAATGCACAGGTGAGCCTAAAAACCACCTCGACCCCACCCAAACCCACACCCAACCAACAAACCCCTACACACCCTCATTTGCACCCTTTTCCCTTCATTTTTTTGTGGGCGAAGCTGCAACAGGTAACCTTGTAAGACTTTAAGACTTCACGATCGCGCAATGATCCAGGCCGTCCGCCCTGCCGAACGGCCTGGATCGTTGCGCGATCTTAAAGTCTTGTATCGTTGCGTGATCTTAAAGTCATAAGATCGGGGGACGATCCGAGCCATCGGCCCTGTTGGACCTCGGGCGGTCTGGAATGTCGCGCCCGTTAAAACAGAGGGCCCGTCGTAGAAGAATCGCCCAGGCACCTGCTTGCCATTGACCCGTTGCAAGGCGGCGCATTGGCCCGTTCCAGAGCTGCCACCTCCCGTCTGCGTGCTCCTGCCTCTCCTCTCCACCTCCGCCACCTCCCGTCCGCCTCCTCCCCGAATTTCCTCTCCGCTTCTGCCACCTCCTGTCCGCCTCCTCTAGCCATCTCCTATCCGCTTCTGCCACCTCCCGTCCGCCTCCTGCCGCCATCTCCTCTCTGCCTCCGCCACCTCCCGTCCGTCTCCTCCTGCCATCTCTCCACCTCCGCCCACTTCTCCACTTTCTCGCTGTCCTCCCTGCCTCCGCCACCTGCCGTCCGCCTCCTCCTGTCATCTCCTCCTGCCATCACCTCTCCACCTCCGCCACCTCCTGTCTGCCTCCTCCCGCCATCTTCTCTCCACCTCCGGCACCTCCCGCCCGCCTCCTCCTGCCATCTCCTCTCCACCTCCGCCCACTTCTTCTCCACCTCTGCTCACCTGCGCTCTGGCCTCCGTTCCGCTGCCCGCACATCCGCCATCCCTCTGCCCGCCTTAAAAAACAAAAAACAAAAGAAAACTCCCCACGGCTACCTGCCACTTGAGTGTTTTCCGCTGCTTCAAGTGTCGAGGCCCTCTTACCGGCCCTTTGGGCTCACTGAACGAACAAGTGCCCTTGCGGGTCACACACACACTCAAGCCGACAAGCACTCAGACAAACATGCAGACCAGCGAGCGTGCACACACACAGACTTAGAGAACTCAGCAAGAAGCGGGAAACTCAGCAAGGCATTCATTCCATGAGAAAAACTCAGAAATCTGCTGTGTGTCTGAGTCTTTGTTTGGTCAGGTCATTACACACCATATGTACAAAGTTCAACTTTTAGACCCATTCATCAAAAACGTTTTTGGTTACTTGTGGCCTACATGACCCCCGCGGCCGCGGGCGCGGGCAATTTGGCTGTCGTGGCCGAAAAAGCCGGCCGCGTCCATGGCCAGGAGGTCCAGTTCACGGCCTGTTTTTTCAGATATTTTCTTGGGGGTCAAAAAATACATGGTGGTCACACACACACACATGCACACACACACAATCACACACACACACACACACACA